AAATATAGTCCTTTTGGAACATATGTTTCTCAATACATTTTAACATTTTAATTAGCCAGATCAAAAAGTAAATGAAGACCAGAGTTCAAATAATCACAAATTATTGACATTAAAAATCATAAAAAAGAAAATCAATTCTTCACAAAATCATATCTCAAAGTAAGGAGAAGGATAAATAAGACTACTCAGAATTCATGAGAATGATATGATAAAACACATATTTCATATATAAAAACAAGTTTACAAAATAAAAGAAATAAAATACATAACTTATCTCACAATCCTTCCCAAGAAAATCCTTAGAAGTTCTCTCCAAGCATTTTCTCTCTTTACAAGCACTCTCAATTCTCACTTAAAAATGTAATGAAGAAGAAATCTCTTATACTCCCTCTCCTCTTACAATCCTTGAAGAAAATCTGCAAGCCCTTGACTTTATATCTCTCTCTATCTCTTCTTGCAGCCCCTCTTTACATGCCACTCTTAGTCTCTTCAAGCCCTAGACTTCCCTCTCTTTTATTTAAGGCTACCTCCCTTTAAAAAGAATCAAAGTTTCCTAAAAAATTCTATCCAAAAATCAACTCTTTTGAATTCAAAAGACATGCCCAATAATCCAAGAGACATATCCATTCATAAAAGAACCTTCAAGAGTGTCTAGATGCATTGAATCACTCTAAGGGGTGTATAGAACAAGTGTCCCTCTGAAAATTCACACAAAATTCGTCTCAAATAGCCTTAATATGAAAAAAGTCATCTTTGGTGTATCTTGCGCCAAATCCGGTGCATCTTGCGCCGGCTCTTTGTCAAATGGCGCATCATTTGCTAATTTGGCGCAGCTTGAGCCGGTTTGCTAAAGACCGCGTTGTTTTGGGTTTTAGTGCATCTTGAGCCAATCTAGTGCATCTTGTGCTAGTTCTCTGTATATTGGCGCATCTTGTGCAGGTTTCCTAAAATTCCCTCTTTTGGCTTCAAATTTTGTCCTTTTTGCTACTTTTGCTCCAAATACCTAAAATTGATATACATGCAACAAAAACATGAAAATAATTTTCTTTAAAGTGCGATATCACAAAAAATAAGCATAAAATATATACTTAAAAAACATATTATTTTGAAGTATGAGATCACCATAACAACATTAAAAATAAAAATAAAAAAAACAAGAAAGTTAAACTTCAATGAGCCATGAAGATCGAGAATCCTGCACATAAGAGTCAATCCACCTCAGTCCATTAGAATGATAAGTTGCTCTCATTGTACAGTGAAGGATTGGTTGCAGTCTTCAGTTCCTTACTCAGTTTCAGAGCATCGTTAGCTTCTTGGCCTTCATGCATGAGGGCTTCATTTGTTTTTTTTTTTGTAGGGGTTCATTAGGTTGGATGCGGGTCACTATAGGAAGTTTAGATAATAGCCTGGCCAACTAGCCCACTCCTTTCCTCCACCCAGATCTTGTCCTTCTAAAGCCCTTGAAGAGAGTCAGATGACCCTACCTCATCCACCATATCAATTACTTTCTACTTCTTCAAGACTAACTTCTTCTTCTGGTCCTTGCCTTCCGGTTTCTTACAGGCCTCGAGCATCCTCTTTCCTTGGGTTCCCTCTTCTTTTTAAGAACTTTCTCTTCCTCAGGCCTCTTCTTTGCCTCAGAATGGGGTTGAAGCTCAGGCGACCAGAAAGCCCTTCTCATCATCTTAGCGTAGGGAACATCATTCGAAGGTTTCTTAGCAGTTGTCATGGAATTTTGGGTACTGATGGACTTAGTCGTGCAGACACAAATACAATGATGATTGACATATGTGTCAATCATGCCCTATTTATATGTGTCATGGGCACATAAATCCAGGGAACGAAATCATTAAACAATTTTGATTATGGAATACATTAATCTAATTTTTGCATTCAATTCTATTTTTCTTATCACATTTTTTGCTTTCAAGAAGCAAGAGAATTGAGAAACTAAATATGTACACAAAAAAAGTACCGTCACAAATCTTGAAGAAGTTAAGAAGACAGTAGCTACGAAGGAGCACAATGCAATGGGACCCACAGTGGAAGACCATGGGCCTGCAAGCAAAAGACCAAAGGTCTCTCAGGGAATGACTAAGGGTTTAACAGTAGAAGACTTAGCTTCCTTCAATGGGATGCCAGGCTAGAAGACCAAGCATCCACCAATTGAACATCAAAAGACTTGTCTATCTAAGTGCAACCCTCTTTAGTTCGGGCTGAAGGTTGACCGAGTGAGAGCTATTTAAATCAAAGCTCGTTAAGCCAAATAGAGACACCCATCCACCTCTTGTCATGATCTTATTCAAGGGAAGGACATAACATCGCAACCTATCTCAACAGACGCCCTTGAGATTCTTCATCCCTGGCAGAGAACTGGCTACAATGCACTAAACAAGACATCCCAAAGAATCTTACCTATCGACAAAAGAAATACCTGTCGGATTGCGGTAATTTACCCTTTGACCGATAACCTAAATTTGTCCTATAGACATGAGTTTCTTATTTATAGATTAAACGATTACCAACCCGATGTAGCCAACTAACAAAAACCAGGTCGACTGTGCTAACTTTTGCATACCTAAAGACCAATTGATGGCTGACCTGCGACCTTGATTCCCAATAATTGGGCAAGCAAGTCCTGTCAAAGTAAGGTGCATTATTCTGAGCCGATCGAATCATAGGACAGCTGAATCAAAGGTTTATACATATCAAATAACCAAAATGTCCTTGTAATGCCCCATGAAAGTAGGTACAAATATGTAATTTCATGTTTGGTACCCCCTCATTGTGAGATCATTTCCTATATTAAAAATAAGCATCTAAAAACAAGAAAAAAAAAACTTCAATGAGCCATGAAGATTGAGAATCCGGTAAATAGGAGTCAATCCACCTCATTCCAATTTAAGTATAAACTGCTATCATTAGACAACGGAAGATTGGTTGTAGTCCTCAGTTTTTCAACCGAGTCCAGTGTACAAGCAACTTCTTGCTCTCCATGCATAGGGTTCTCTTCAACTTTATTTGTAGAGAGTCTTCTGGTTAGATGCAGATTGGAAAGGAAAGTTTTGATAACACACTCGCAGCTTAGTCAACCAGCCCACTCTTGTCCTCCGTATGGATATTGTCCTTTCATAGCCCTTAAAGAGAGTCAGATGACCCCACCTCATCCTCCAGATCAATTACTTTTTGCTTATTCGGGGCTAACTTCTTTATCTAGACCTCACCTTTCGGTTTCTTGCCAGCCTCAGGTTTCCTCTCTCCCTTAGACGCCCTTTTCTTCACATGCCTCTTCTCTTCCTCGAGTCTTTTTTGCCTCAGAAAGGGGTTGGAGCTCAGAAGACCCAAAAGCCCTTCTCATCATCTCAGCGTTGGGGACATCGTTCAAAGTTTATTGAGCATTTTTCTTAGAATTGTGCATACCGATCAACTCAATCGTGCAAACAAAAAAATAGGGATGATTGGCAAAAGCGTCAATTGTGCCCTATTTATAGGTGTTATAGGCACAAAAATCAAGGCAGTGTAATCATTAAAATATTCTGAATATGAAAAAAATGAATCTATTTTTTGCCTTCATTTCTCTTGTTCTTATTGTATCTATTGTTTTCAAGAAATATGTTTATCGAGGAACTAAATATGTACACAAAAAAGTAACAACACAAATCTTGAAGAAATCAAGAGACAATAACTACAAAGGAGCACAATACAATGGGCCTCACAAGTAAAAGACCATGGGGCTACAGTGGAAGACCAAGGTATTTCAGTGAATGACTAAGGGTTTAGCGCCAGAAGAGTAAGCTTGCATCAATGGGATGCCACACCGATAGGCTAAGTATCAACCAACGAAACATCAGAAGGCTTGTCTAACCAGGTGCAACTCTCATTAGTTGGGGGTGAAGGCCAACTGAATGAGAGCTATTCAAATCAAATCTTGTTAAGACAAATAGAGACACCAATCCTCCTCTTGTCATGATCTTATTCAAGGAAAGAGCATAACACCACCAACTATCTCAACATACGCCCTTGAGATTCTTCATCTCTAGCTAACAACTAGCCACAATGCACTCATCAAGACATCGTGAGGAATGTTTTTTATTGAGGAAGAAACTACCTATCAGAATATAATTATTTACCATTTGCCCGAAAACCTAACTTTATCCTACATATATGCGTTTCTCATTTGAGTTCCAATCGATTGCCAGCCTAAGGCATCCAGCAGACAAAATCAGGTTGATCGTGCCAACTTTTGCCTACCTAAAAACTAATTGAAGGCAGACCTACAACCCCAATTCTCAATAGTCGGACGAGTGAGTTCTGTCGAACCAAGACCCATTTTCTCCGAGACGATCGAATCATAGGACAACCGAGTTGGAGGTTTGTACCTGTCAAATACCCAAAATATTTTTATAACGCCCCATTAAAGCAGATACAAACATGTAATTTCCTATATTGTACCATCTAATAGGGAGATCATTTAATAAATAAATTTTTGCGCTTACCATTCACTCTCATGCGCCACACAATCTCTTGTTGTACACTTTTTTTTTATTTTGCACTCAATTTTCTCGAGTGCAATTCACAGAATAATCTCAAATTCAATAATTTAGTTAAGATTAATCTTATCATGATAGAAAATACATCTTATATTTTCACAAAATTTATGTTTTTGAAATAGAAGGGATCATCAATCATATAAAATATGACAGGGAAGGAGAAAGGAGAAAACGAGCTTCTTTCGTCCTTTCAAACGTTTAATCAGTTTGATGGAAACACTCTTCTACGAAAAGGTTTCGCCCTTATATCGTGAGATGATAAAAATATCGCGACTAAAAGATGTAGCGGCCGATGCCTTAGGGATATCCAATGTAAACGTGCCGGTTGTAAGTGCCCAAATGGTATGTAGCCGACTGCAGACCCGAGAAGGGGAGCAGTAAACGAGAAATCGCGACGCCACAATATATCGGACTTCAAATTTTAGTTATTGAAATTTGTTATATTTATTTTCGAAAGAGAGTTTAAATTCCATTTTAAGGTGAAGGGTGGCAAGTTTTATCGATTTTCCGATAAATCGCTTCGCAAGCAGGAACTGGTGCAGCTGGATCCGTACAGATCTCTGAAAGATTTACCGGTACTCGAATTGTCATCGGCTAGGCTTTTCGTGTGAGTTGTGGAGGAGATCGGTATCGGGGCTCAGGGGAATGCTTTCGATGGTGCGGATCCGATCTGAAGGTTAGACCGCGGTGATTCGGAACGGTGCTCGTTTTCTCTTAATTTTTGGATTGAGGTACGGTTTTACGTTGGCAAGTTGAATCTTCTTTTGTTGAACTGCAAGGAGATCAGGTTTTACTTTCGTGATGGGATTTTAGGTCTACTTGGGAACTTGCTGGGAAGATATGTTCTATTCTCAGTTTATATTGGCAAAGAAAGGTCCTTTGGGGACCATCTGGATTGCTGCCCATTTGGAAAGGAAGTTGAGGAAGAATCAGGTGGCGGATACTGATATTGGTGTCTCTGTAGGTTGGTGTTTCCTAGTTTCATCAGCTGCTCTACCTTTTGATTCTATTTAGTGTTTTTCAGCATTCTTGTTTTACATAGGAATTGTGTGGTATGTATGTAAATTTTCCTTCAATTTTTTTGCTATATAAGATTTTATGTTATACAAAATGTGTTTTTTTTGTTGTTGTTTATCCGCGTTCTAATAATTAATTTATTACGGTGAAATTAAATATTTTGCCAACGTAATCATAAACATTTTGGGCAGCTGTTCTGTATGGGCAAAAGTTAATTTTATGGTGAACAACTCATAAAAGTCCTCATCACTTCGGGTTCTTATTTCAGTCCAACATTAGGTAGAGTGGTAGAAGAGTGGGAGGGAGATGAGAGGAGAGTGCACAGTGGCTGGGGGCCCCCTTACCCATCCAATTTTGTTTTGGGGAGGGATTGGAAGAGGTGATGGCAACCACTCTTGTTGTTGTCACTACAATCCAATATTACATGAAGTGGTTGCAGGGGAAGGCTTACTTTTTGAATTGAGGAAATGCAGAGTTGGTGGAAGTGATGTTAGTCTGATAGAGACATCTAGGAAGAGGAGTTTGTAGTTCATGTCTGAGACCAAATCAGTTTGGGAGATAACAGAGTTATTTTTTAATTAGAGATGAAAGTCATTTTTTCTTTAAAATTCTGTTGGAGGGTTGGGGGCAATTGGGCAGTCAACAGTCTCACTTCCTTTTTGTGCATGGGGTAAAGATAGAGAATATTTGTTTTGCTCTTGCCTATCTTTTGAAATCATAATGAATGGGATGTGAGATGAAAGAAATGGGTTTGGGGACATTGTGGAAGGGATTCTTTTCTTCTCTAATTTTCATGGTGATTACATTGGGCATTTGCCCTCAATCCTAACTTTGTAATTCCCTTTGGGCGATTATGATTGATTCTATCTTTTGTTATTACACCACTTTGTTGTTTTGTGCAATGGACAAAACATCCAAAGTGGCTTGTCCTATTGAGATTACTTGCACCATGCAATTGCCATGGCAATTGGAGGATTTAAATTCTTGAAGAAGCCATCCCATAACTCTAAACCTTGTAATGATCTGCATTGGAAGGGAGGAGAGAGAGAGAAGAGAGAGAGAGAGACCATAGAGACCATACATGGAAGAGAGATTGAAGAGAGATTTATTTGGGTTTGGCATGGGGTGGGTATTGGAGTTAGGTGGCTACATCTTAGAATGAGTAATAGATATGGAGGAAGTAACCTCTCATTAAATAAATTTTCTTATTATGGTCATCCATGTTAAGAAAGATAGATAGACCTAGGAAAACTTGGGTGTATTGTATAAAAATGATCTTAATTTATTAGAACTAAATGACAAGATGACACTAAATAGGACGCAATGGAGAAAAATAATTCATGTAGCCGACCCCACATAGTGGGATTAAGGCTTTGTTGTTGTTGTTGTTGTTGTTGTTGTGGTCATCCATGTTATTTTGTATTACCTTTTTTTTCATTTTATGGTTAATGCAATGCGATGGTTTATGCACAAGGGCTGATTTCACTTTATTGAATTTCATATGCAAGTCTATTGAGTAAAACTATAGCGGAAAGCTTTTATCAATTTGTATTTCCCAAAATTTGTAGAGGGATTTGATCATTTATGCATTTTATTAAAGTGTTTTAATTAATTTACTCTTGATCATCTTAATAAATTTACTTCTTTGACATTTTAGTATAAATTTACTATTTTGGCATTCCAATCCTTGTGTAATTTATTAATCAAATTTTACTTTTTGGTTATTTTTCTCTTTAAAAAAATGTTCTTAGAATATATCCATCAATATATATTTATTATATACTTGCTTTTAGACTCTGCAATCTTTAAAGAAATGATATTACTTTGTGAAGTGCACTATTATTTATTAAAGAGGCAAGATTCAAAGTCCTTGGTCACCTAATGGTAATGCATTTCTTTATCACTCAGTAAATTTGTGGACCTGGAGTTTAGAAAATGCTACGATCTGACCTGATAGTTTAGCATTAACTATGTCCGGAAATTTGGCTAGATGATATTATCATTTCTTTTACTTTTCACAGATTTTAATATCTTTCAATTTATAAAATAGCCACTAAGAAGCCACAAAATGCAATGAGCATAAATGAAATCATCCAAAATTAACGATTTAGTTTGCAAGTAAAGCATCTCAAACCAATACACAACAATATTACTACTCGGAAGTACATAGTACAATAACTAAATCACAACACACAACATAAAACTCATTAACAAAAGTCTTTTTCCTGTAAATTGAATCCATCCTGCCAGACATCTCGATCTACAATTTTTCCTAAAAGAAATAATTAATTTCAGCATTAACTTTTTCACAACTTAACGATCAATTATAATCTTATTATGCATTAAATTGATATGCAAATGCTATGCATGATTATCTCAAAGACAAAAAATTTATTTATAAATGAAACTATAAACTTTCATTTAATTTAGCCTTTTCCATTTCAATTTAAGTATTTACTCTTTTTAACCTCTTTAATAAGTCATCAAAATTACCGTCATACTGGAATATATTTTTAAAATTTTACCCTTAGTTACCCTCAAAATTTTGCTTATAATGACTCACCTTTGTTTTTTTCATTTTTTTTCGTGCATAGGTACATCGCATCACTGCCAATATCATCTAGGGATAATCCTAATTGACTTAAGTCTTTATTTTTCATTTCTTTTAATTAAACCATTTAAAATCATTAAACAATATTTTTTTTTCATTTCATTCATTTAAATGATTTTTTTTTTGTTTCTTTTGTCCATATGGGATTTGTTGGTTTAAGCCAGGTGATGTACATCAAATAATTTCTCGTGCTTCATAGATGCATCAATTTGACACTCTTAGCCGATGACTGCTTGATCTGGTCTATTTAGCCTAGTTTGAGTGTGTATGACTGGCTGATTTTTGACTATTTGCTCTTGGTGATTCCTGTTATTTTAATTTTCTGGCGCTTTTCATTTATTTCATGCTTCTATATATTGGCCATTGAAATTGTAAAATTATTGGTCTCACCTTGTTTATGCTACCAATTGGGGAACTGACTGTTCTCTCTTAAGATTTAAATTCGTTCTCTTTTCTCTTTGCTATTCTTCATAGCCTGTAAGAGCCTTTTTTTCCCTGTTCTTGTGCCTCCTCCATTAATCTAAAGTTCCTTCTCTTCAGTCGTCTCACTGTGGCCCACCTTCATAATTTACTCCATCTCTTTATCTTCACATTCCAACGAACCTGTTTTTACTCCCTTCATCTCCACATACTCTTGTAAATGAATAGATTGTAAATTCTGAAATTTTGGTATTCTTTTTTCTTCATGGGATGATACTAATCGCTACGAGAATGAACTTTCTAGAATGACTCCAAAACCTTCTGATACCATTTGAGAATAAAAATGATAAGAAAAAGAATTCTTGTGCAACGAAAATCCATTTTAGTTATAATCATTCTCTGAATAAATCAAATATATTTGTTGATACATTTGAGTAATTGAATGTTTCACAAGTATCAAACTCACTATTCATGTATGGAAAATAAGGTGTGGCTATCTTGGTGTTGCATCATCATGTCTAGTGTGCTTGAACTTTTTGGTGGCATTGTCTCTCGAGCTTTAAGCCTAGTTTGGTTTGGTAAGAAATACTTTTGATATCTAAGTTGAATGTGACGAAAATGAGTATGACTTAATCATTTTATGGCAAAATTAAAATATGATAGATTAAGGAATGATTATGTATGAGAAAATATTGAAGGGATAGCTATTGAATATGTGCGATGGAGGATAGAAAATACACCGATTATATTAATAGATAAAATTAATGCAGTGGATCAAGAACTGTTAGACGTAAGATAATATGGATCAAAGCTGTTCAAAATGTCCCTAGTAATAAATTTCAATGGTGCAAAGTAGCAGATGATATGGCACATGGAGCGACACAACACACCCTCCATGCATATCGTAATGTGAAGCATCAAAATGACACGTTATTTGCATCATGCATGGGCAATGGTGCATTGCTCCCATGGCACTCACTAAGTTGATTTTTTTTGATTTAATATTAAAAAATTAAGAAAATTTTACATATAATTCATTTCTTATGTATTTGCATATCTAACATCCAAAATTTAATAGTGATTTATATAGCATATCAAAAATACTAGTTCTTTTTTTTTTAAAGTGAAATACACCTTTTTTTATGAATATGTTTTAATATGATTATGACGAAAAATGTTATATATGTTAATATTAACTCTAGATGTTGAGTAAATAAATATATAAGAATTTTTGAATGCTTGTGAATCTCACAATACATATAAATTTATGTGTGTGTGTGTGCAGACTTCGGTACATTATATATATATATATATATATATATATTTATATATATATAAAGAGAATGTGCGGTCTCAGTGGTGTGCCTTCT